GCAGGAAGTTCATGAACTTTCTGAAATCCTTCTACATGTCAATGTTCTGAACAAAAGTGTTGCAGTGTTCAAACTGTTCCTGGATTTTAATGAACAGTAATTAAAGTGTATAATTTAGTGCTGCCAAAATTAACTGCTGTGCTCTAATTACACAGTATCATAAGACAGGAAACACATACCTGGCTGAACGCAGAACTTCAATATTTCTTAATCCTATTACAAAAATCCCAAATCCTGATTCCTGAGAACCACAATCTCAATGGAAATGGCAGAAAACTACAAGCACGTGCACACAGATAAACTCAGAGCTAACTCTATGCGCTTTAACAACAGAGCTCTACATCCAAGGTCTATGAGAACTTAGCCTATTTCCAATGAAATCCGAGGTCCTGATGTTTTAAATCCATTTCTCCTTTGTTATATTCCCATTAAAAAATAAATAAATAAAAAAAGAACTAAGCATTGGCACTGTGAAAAACAGGATCCACTGTGAACAAAGTCTCTGCAGATTTCTGCAAACACAAAATGAAGAGGTCTCCTAGGCCTTCAATTCTCATTTTCTGTTCTGCTTTCTTCTTTACTCAGAGCTGAAAAAAAGATTCTTGGATTGCACCATATTACAATGTCTGGTCATGGAACTCTCCTCTTCTCTTGGCAGATTTATGCATATCCACACAAAAGTTTGATTTGAGCCAGAAGAATCCAGCCTAAATAAAAGTTACGGTCAGACCAACACCAACCCTCCACCACTAGCATGTCACTCTGGAGACAATCCAATGAGAGGGCAAAGTTGACAGCTGTAGGTCTCAGGCTCCTATTAACAGCGTACCACACTTCACCTTTCTGCTGATACACCTTCTTGCACTGAGGATACATGGTACCACAGTAACAGTATATGGACTCTTAAGGCAGGGAGCTGAGAGATAACAAATGTCTTACTGAAAAAGAGAAAGCTCTTATAAGCACAACCTCATTATCAAAGAACTGGCATTCCTTATACTACCTGTTTGTAGTATTTTTTTGTATTTGCTCAACAAATCCAGTGTTGTACTTTAAACCCAAACTTTCTGCCCTTAGTAGTGCAAGATGAAGCTCAAAAAGACTGTACTCCAGAGAACATTTAATGAAGTTCCAAATACATTAAAATCAGACAAAACATACCTACTACCTTCCTTTAACAGTGCAATAGCAATCCGGATCCGATTCCTTAGAAAGATCAGCATCAGTATGATTATGACCTCAACAACACAAAGTATTATCACTGTAAACAAACAAAGTTAGATTTATCAAGAATTGAACCAATATGCTGCCTCTGCAAATTGGGTTCCCTCCCCCCCGCCCCCCTTGTATTTTACACTATTGTTCATGAACCCCTTAAAATTCTCTGCTAGAGCAGTTCTCTCTTTCTCTCACTGCACCTGCCAACCTTCAAGCCCATTTTCACAGTTTTGTAAGTTCCACTGTAAAGGGAAATTCTACATGCAGAGAGTTAGTCAGAATGTGCAGGGCCCTGATATCAACATCTATCATTTTAGAAGAAAAACTGAACATATAATTCTCAGGCAAAGATAATAATTTACTTAAATGTGACTGTAGTGTTTGGCCTTAGATACAGTTCACTCTTAACAAAATTTTACTTTTCATAAACAAGCGTTTTGCATGTTTATACTCTAATGCTGCTAATTTGTAGAATTTAGATACAATAAAATAAATAAAAAGGAGATGAGGAGCAAACTTTTTCATTAAAAGTGCCTTTTTGTGATATATATTACTCTAACATTTAAATATACTTAAATCAATAGGTTTGTTTGAGTATTAACCTGGCATGAGCTCCTTTCACATCATCTGAGTAAAAAAAAAAAAAAAAAAAAAGGCAAAGAATCACACGAACTTGCTCTGAGGTCAGAGAGCAATGAGCACCGTGTCCCAGAACATCTCCTCTTTTAGTTATGAGCAGTATTTAAATCATAACCAAGATCTGTTTTAAACAGTCTGCTTTAGTCTGATTTCTATTTTTGTCAGTTCTAAACCTACTTTTGCAGTAGAAAGTAAAAAAATTCTCTGGACTTTATCTAGAGAAGACAGAATCTTTCATGCCTGAAGCACATCTCTTCTGAGACATATCCACTAATTCTGGGTGCTTCAGATGGTTAGACACAGCAGTTGTGGATGATTGCACACAGCAGACCCTGTCTCCTGCAGCTGAAACCAAGAAGCTTTGTGGAGGGAGAGAAGGCAGAAGGGATAGTATCCCCAAGCCTTGGCTTGTCTGGAGGTTTGCAAAGGGATATGGGAAATAGAAAGTTTAGAAATAGTCTCAGAATCCAGACCCAGATAGTTACAGATTATGTTAAATTGTGATTCCAAGTATTATCAGTACCCCTAGCCATCGGAACTGCAAGTGTTGAGTGATCACTGTGGTGCTCAGAGCCAAAGACTTTGTTCACAGCAAAGTTTTCGTTACACACAGCTCAGCACCTATTTCTGATATGGTCCCCCATAAAGGAGTAGATAATCAGGTTTCTTTAAAGCTGGTCTCATTCCAGTTCAGCTCTGTTAAGGTAGCTTGTCCCAAACATTGTGAAAAAGGAAAGCAATGTCAGTACATGATGGGTTCTAGACTAGGACTAAGAGGGCCTAAGTTTTCTTCATGATATTTAACTGCTTTGCTGGGTAACTTTGGAAAAGTAATTTAATTCCTGAGAACCTCAATTTACTCATCTGAAAGTGACACTGACCTCTAGATATATACTAGTGTCTCCTTGCAAAAAAGTAGATTTTTGCACAATACAAAGAAAGATAATTCTCCTTACTTCGCTGAGCGACCTTAAGTAGAGGAGATTTAACAAGGCAGAAACTGTAGCAAGGTAGTGATTGATTCTCCTGAATAGCCATTAACAGATACCAAGTTTAAAAGGCACTTACTAAATGCTAACCATGTTTGCCTCAGTTGCAGGTACACTCTAAAGTCTGTCTGGAATCCAATATCGTAAACAGTGAGGTCAGATCCAGGTATTCCTTTAAGATGATCGTACTCCCAGTAACAATGCCAGATGCCTTTTAAAAAACAATCAACATAAGTGAGTGTTTATGATGAGTGAAAATACAAGGTTTTAAAAAAAAAATCTTCTACAAGCTAAGTGTTTTGTCCTCAGCATGTCATGTAAGCAAAAGCCAAAAATGTATTACTGTGAGATTAGCCCATTATAACATTACACAAACAGACAAGAAATATCAGTACAAGTCAATACAGACTAAGCATACTGTAAATTGATAATTCAGGTTACTACATCTGGTGCTAAGTACCAGTACATCTGGATTCTTACTAAATTTTGCTGCCATTTAAGCCCTTCTCACTTAACTGTGTGTAAAACTAGGCAGTAATTCTCCCAATTGTACCATTTAATTGATGTAATTACTGATTTTCCTTACCATAACCTATAATTCCAATCACACCAAAGATGAAAATCCAGAAGAGAACCCCAGCTGTGAACCTCAGTAACACAAGGAAGAGCAGACTCACAATCATTGCAATGAACAGCCCACTAGAGAGACAAGAAACAGAAACACAGGGAAAACAATGGTGAGAAACTTCACTTTCTTGCATGCCTGTTACTGCAAATGAGGGTCACTTCATCTCACATAACAGAATGACTTGTAAAAATGTACTTTAAAGTCTTCCTTATGAAATACATCCTCGTGGCTATTATCTGCTATTAGAAACAAATAGCTTATATATGATGGCTCACAGGGCGGAGTCAGAAATGTGTGTGTACACTAGGTTCTCAGATTGTCTGAATGGGACTAGTAGATGCTTTTTTGGTCACTTACACCAGCTGAAAAACTCACTGCCTTTTCCAGGCCATAGTCTAGTCTATAGGACAGAAAGTTAAATTGGAGGAATACCTATGTGTGGGGTGGTTGCTGTTTTATGTCCTCCATTAAAAATCCCTACTTGCAAAGAAACAATGTTAGTCAAGTAACATTCCAGGAACCTTCCCAGAAAAAAAAAAAATCAAATTTAGGAGGAAAATCAGTGACACTTTCCACTCATCAGAAGAGTAAATGATCAGGGCATTCTGATGTGTAAAAAAGAGAAGAGCTATCAACGAAGCCCCTAGGAAAGACATCTACAGAGTGTCTTCTCTTTATCAAGACTGTGGTAAGGAAATACTTGTTTTCATTTCACTCCTAGAAAGGAAAAAATGACTGCAAAAGGCCTTTTTACTCAGCAAGGCCTTCTAAAGCAATATGAATAATAATCCCATTCAACAACATCCATCTCAGGTGCATCACAGAACATTTAATTTCTCAGAATTTTTAGTAGGTGTTATATTAGAATTTTTTATTAATACAGACTCAAAAAAATTTTAAACCTTCTTGCCCATGTTCAGTAACTTCTCTTCTGAACATTCACAGTTTATTTAGCCAGTTACCAAAGATAAATAATTAGTCAGCCTGATCATAAACAATGAAAACCAGATGTTTTGGGCAAACTAAACCAGATGGGCAGAGGGACAAGAAAAATATCAGCTTATTTAGCTAAACCTTTGTAAGCTGGTCTTATGTCCTAGCCCTTTAGAGGCTTCCTACCTTGATGTATTTTCCCTTTCTGAATGGTTTGTCTGAAATTCAGAATGTATTCCTCAAAAAACAGCTGTAGTTTTGGAGCTTATGACTCTATTCTTGAAAAAGGTAAGTTACCTTTAGATATACACAAGTCCTGGTGACACCAAAACTGAGTACACAGTAACAACTGTCCTCAATAACTGGTTCCCTTAAACCTTCATTGTCATGACCCAAACTCTGGCACTTAAATATGTTTGTCGAAAAACTGTTTGATGTATGCTACCATTTGGTGAAAAGTGTGAAGAAAATTCTATCCAACTACTTCTAAAGTAGTAACAATTCCTTATAAAAATATCGTATTTGAAAAGGTGGAAACTGGCTTCAGTAATTAGAATTTCTGTTTAAAAAAAAAAGGTCAATTCTCTCTCCAGCCTCGTTGTTCAGTGATACCTCCTTTGAAAGAATCTGCACTATAAGCCTGATTTCAATAAGAGATATGGAGACAACCGAGCTTGCTGAATACCAGTATTTCTTGCCACTGACTATTGTGAGCACAGTACCAGACTATGAAGAAGCTGTCCTCCCACTAGTGATGCAACACCTTTAAAAGCTGACAACCTATGTTTCTGAACCGACTAATTCTCCATATTAAGTTTATTATCTAAAGTTTATGTATTTATTTTTGTGGATTTGCATTCAGGCTTGAATAATGTATGCTTAATATGTGCATGTTACAGGCTCTCACCTGGTAAAGACTTCTTGTCCTGTTTAAATTGATCAACACCCTGGTCCATCAAAAACAGCATTAATGGTCTAAGAATGCACATATATTTACATATTTACCTCAGCAAAATAGGTACTTCTTTTGTTTCAGTGCTGCATTTTTACTCATTGGTGATTAGTGAGTATTAATTGCAAGATAAAGTTAACAATACAGTTCAATACTTTTTGTTCTTGATGTTGCTTTGCCTGCTGCATTGGATTTAGGGATTTATATTGGATTTATGGATTACAATGGATTTAACTATATATTGCTAGTATGAATTTAGACGTTGTGTTTTATATGTATACACTAATGACACTTAGCAACTGCAATTTGTTTGAAAGTCTCTTAATTAGATTTTTCAGTTTTGGAATTACCACATAGACCACTCCTGCAACAGAAGACAGCATGTCCTGTTTTTCTGCCTGGTAGGATATTAAAAAGCTACTCCAGATCTCCTGACACTCTATGTATGTATGCTGTACTATCCTTACCTCACGCACAGAACCATAACAACATTATTATCATGTGGTGAAAGGAAATTAGAGTTGCTCCTTGAGTTTAAAAGTAGGATTGGATTGGTAACAAACTCATACATTATATACTTTTTAATTCCCTGCATGCTCCAAAGTAAGTTTGTAAAAATTAAAAATACCCATGACAATCTTACATTAAAATCCAATACCAAGAAATGGCATAGTCTTCAAAAATTTTCATTCCAACTGATCTTGCATCCAGGACATTATTGATGCCACTGAGAAAAGACAAACCAAAGAAAAGGTTGCTTTAGGTAGAAAAGCAGAATTTATTTAAACAACAAATAGGCTCAGTGAAAGAATTTGAAATATCTTTGCTAGTGATAACAGTATATTACTATCCTCCAGCTCCAGTTCTGTAACCAAGATAACATCACAGTTACACCAAAGGAAAAAACCTGTGTAAAAATGTCTATACAGCTCCTGAAGAAGCTTTATTAAAAATGCTTTATGAGTACTACCTAGAGATACAATTGCTTATTTTGTCAAAATAAAAGCGTATACCATTAAGATCTACAATGTACCAAGAGCCAAACAGTTGTGACTCCAGACTCTTCTTGTTAAAGAACAGACAATGTAGTCTTAACAAGGTACAGGTGTTCTCAGTGTTGGTAAGGTGCTAGAACGTGGCAGCCTTGGATCCAGAGGTAAGAAAAGGTTCTCCTGTGCTCCAGACAGGCTGAGGACTGAGAGCAGCTGGAAAAGTGAGGCTATTGCAGCAGTTTTCTCTCATCCTGGTTGATGCCCAGGATTGGAGATGCTTGCTGTCCATCTGCAAGGGAGGTGTTGTCATACATCAGAGCCCACTACATTGCTTTTTGACCTTTAGACGTGTACTAAAGACAGGAGCACTCTGACGAGGTGAGATGCCCGAAGTACTAGAACAGTCCATGTTAGTGGAAAGGCCATCATAGGAAGGAACAGCCAAGGCCATTGCTGGCCTTTCAGTCCTGTAGCACAAGGATTTAATTTTGAACCTCCTTTAGCTTTCTTTAATACTAATTTTTCCTAGGAAAAACAACAAGAAGGATTTAAAAACTGACAGTCACTCTGAGACAAACAGACTAAAAGTTCTGGCTCCTGGCTCATTTCTGCATACCACAGTGCTGGTTTTCCTTACTGGAACTTTGTGAGTGCCCATGCACAGAGAGACCATTTACTAGCAAGTCTTGCCTGGGTACCCTCAGCCATTTGCTATAACAGATTCTGATTACTTTTTTCAATTCCTAAATTACTTCACAATCTCAGAATCCAACAAATGAGCACTTAAGAAGGGTAAAACCTACTTTGCAGCTTCCCTGAGATCAGTTACATTTCTTGTTTTCCCTCTTCCATCTTTGAACGTAGTTTGATTTGCCACGGTTAGCACACCATTCTTCGTGGAGAAGTCTGGGAAGCATCTCTTAAGGACTATTCAAAATATCAAAACAAAGCATACATATTACACTTCAGGTTGAGCTCCACTTTTATTGTTTGTCTTCTGTAACATATTTAGACATTTCAGATTCATAGTCAACTGTTTTTCAACTGATTATCTAACGGTAAGTTGGTTTTGACAAATCTTGGAAGAGCCATTGTATTGAAGATTATGATTTTTATGCTCTGGCACTTTTTGTCCAACCTCGGGCATGGTGGGATCACAGCCTTCAAATGGACCTTCTAGGTGCTTCTGAATAACAGTAGTATCTGTAGCAGTTTAAGAATTTGTAATAAAGGCAGAACTTACTCTCTGTCAGTATCTGGGCAGCTTACAAAAACTGCAGCTTCTCAAATATGTCATTTCATGGTAATAACCAAACCATCCCTCAGGGACAGACTCAACATGACTGGTCATGAATGGTATTAGCACCCAAAACAATACATAACAGCAAGTGTCAGTTCATCATATGCCAGACGAGCTCCAGTACCAGCCAGTATCACTAGATGTTCTTGGAGAGGAAGCAATGGAAATAAGACAGAAACAGAGGGAGGAGGAGACTATAAAAGAGAGAGAAAAGGAGAGATGTTTACATACTCATTTATGTAGCTCTGCTCTTTGCTGCAAAAAGTCTTGGTTTTCATCCCAACGGGAAGAGCAGGTCAGTCCTCCTACACAGCTGTACTTTAACTTTATATAATAATTCCGTGCTTTCCTTAACAGGTTCCAATAAATACTAATGCCAGGGTTCAATATTCAGTCTAGAATGTCTACCCCATCATTTATTCTGAGGAAATAATTAAGTGGCATGCCTCTCTTCCTCCCTCTGTAATCTTTGCCCCTTGTCATAGTCTAAAAGAAAAAAACAGTTTCTTTGCAAATTATTTTCTGTCTTTTGGGTCAGTACATCAGTTTTCATACAAATTCTTAATATTTTTAAAAATTTCATCTATATTTTCTCTATTTTATAACCTGTCCCTGGTTTACATGAAGCCTATTTTAAATAAGGTGTCTATACAACAAAATAAGGTGTCTAATACAACCCTTTGAAAACACCAGTGGCATAGGGTATTTTAACCTTATCCGAATAAGATGTCTGTATTATTAATGGAAAAATAAGCAACTATTTCTTATTTGCATGAGTTTCTGAGTCAGTGACAGATACTCCTGGTATTACACTTCTGCAGCTGAGATGAGCCCTGAGACCTGTGGCTATCTATTCAGAAATACCCGCTGATCTAGTGACAAAAACATTTTTTGGCCCCTTAATTCCTCTGTATGCCCTGCATAGACAGCACTGCAACTGAAAAGCAAGCTGCACTGTAACTGGGCTAAAGCATCATCTGAACTTCAACAGCTGGCCATATAATCCTTCCTACATTCATGGCATTTACTTTATGCCAATGGGGTTGCTAGCTCACGTATTTTGGAAGGCAAAATTTGAGCTGTAAAGCTTTTGTTATCAGTGATGATTCATGAGCAAGAAAGAACTCAGAAGAAAGAACTCACACACTGAATGTTCATGAATGGCAGTTAGAAAAAATAATAATAAATCTTTATACTGCTTAAAATTGAATGGATGACACTGTCAGATAACAAGACAGCTCCTAGTGACCTTGCCACAAAACACTTTTCAGAATGGAGTTGTGCTTTAATGTGAACGCTTATAATCTGCTAAGATGTGTATAATAAGTAGAACCACTCACAAGGCCTGCTTGGAATGACCATCGAAGGACAATCTTCATCACGTAGGACTTGAGCAACAGACTAAAAAGGGGAAAAACAGGAATGCTGAACATAGCAGAATAACTACGTGGTTTTTGTTTGTCACCTCATGTGACAAAATGCCCCAAATTTGGCTTTGTAGCCTCCTCCCCAAACCCAACTGGTGGAGCTGCAAGATATATTAGTGATGTAAGTGAGAAGCCAAACTGTCCTTGTGATTTGGGAAAAGACTATTCTTTTTTCCTTTTTTAGTGCTGTTCATTTCGGATCAGCACCTAAGCCAGAAGTGACTGGGCAATTGTTCCTCGCCTTCCCTTCGCCTTTTCTCTTAAAGGAGAGTAAGAATTTAACACAATTAATATAGCTGAATTGCAAGGCGTTTTAAAGATGGGAGCAATAACACCGTACATTTGAGTGCAAAATCAGTTACATGAAGGACAGATTAATTTTCCTAGCCAAATTACTAAGGAGCTATAGATGAATCAGGAGCCTTAAGAACTGGTTTGAGATACTCTGCTCTACTGCTGTGGAGTACTTCAGTACTGAAGGATACTGAGTGCCACAGTACTGCAACTACATGGGTAGCTGCAGATATTCTTTTAAGCAAACAGTAATCATCTAAAGAGTGGGGGATATGGTGTGCATACAAGACCTTCACCCCGAATAAATCACTGTCAAACCATATATATCGGACAACTCCTTATATAAATTAGAATAATTCAAAGCTTTGATGTACCTCAGTAAAATAATGCATATTACATATTGCTTAAAGAAAAAAATGTATTGCATCATCTACTGACACACACACACCTTGCGAGGATTGTTAAAACCAGGTTTGCAGAACTGCCTGAAGTAATTCCACTGATCTGGTTTATATCTGTAGGAAGCCTGAACATCAATATAGGTTGCAAACCTGTCTGGGCACTTTGAGACACAAAGCTGCAAAAGAAAAAAAATGAGTAAAGATACACTGGGGGTAGAGAAGGGTAAGGAAAGTCAGTGCAATTAAAAAGCAAGAAAAAGGCCACCTACAAAAGTGCAGCGTTTTATGGAAACGTCTTCACAAAAGTTTACTGCAGTATTTAGAAAGGGACCTACGTTTTCCTTTTGATTCCCTAGATAAACACTTCTAAAATTCTTTGATAGAATACACTTTCAAAGTCTCTCCTCATATCTAGCATATCAAGCCACTCTCTGTATCTTCTTAGGTTCTACACATTCTAGTAGATATGCAGAGCTTTCTAGTTTGTTGAAAAAAAAGTTGTTTTGTTTTGTTTTTTTAACACCAGGAAAAATCTGTCGGGTCCTCCTCTACTTCCATCAGCAGCAGCCTATACGAGCAAGGTGGTGCAGTAGCTTCTTTCACAGGATACATGTAATTTCCATTACATTTATAAGGAGAATTTTATTTTTAAAAAGTCACATGCAGCTAAAATTGTTCCACTCTTCCACACAGTCTCTTCAGTCAAATACATCTCCACAGATACTGTTCAAGTCAAGTTAGGTGTAAATAACTCAAAGGTGACTTTTTACTACTAATGATGAACTCCCCTAGTTACAAAGTAAGAGGGGCGCAGATGCCAGGAATGATATTCACACCACTCAAGGTATAGCCATTGTAAAACAGATTTATGTGAGAAATCACGTGAGGACTAGGGTTTGATGAATGCATCTACTCAGAAGTTATGATTTAGATTTATGTAATGGAGGAGCAGCTGCCCAGATACGCAGACTCTGAAGGTTCTGCTGGTCACTGGAATTATGCAAGTGTACTGCCGTTCTGACTCCTCAGTGTTCCTAAATACTGTGAGGTAGTTTGAAGTCCATCTTTTTAGCAAGTTTCAGCCTTTTCTAGTAGGTTGTTCTCTGTTTCCAAAGCTGTGCTTTGGAATACCCTTTGCAAAGCTCTGCTATCCAAGTACCAGAGGGACATCATGCACAAAACTTTATGCCACATCAAGGGCATTCTGCCATATATGAGTCACCTAAAGGAATTTTGGTAAAAGATCTCATACGCATCCTTACAACAGGACAGATCCTGCAGGAGGGTCTTTCTAAATGAGTACTACAGTCCTATGGACTAGCCACAGGCCAAGGAACAAAGAAAGAGGAATTTTGTCCTTGCCAGGACAACAGGGGACTAACAAGTATAGACTTTACTATAAAACCTCAGTTTCCCACCTATGAAAAAGGCAATGAAATGTGCTGTCTATGGATCCAGAGAGCCGTAATCACAGTCTGCAAATCCACAGTCTTGCTCAAGAACTGAAGCTCTTCCCATGCCAGCTCTTGGGGATTTTTTCTCCTGCTATTTGATATGAATGGAACAGGAATGAAAGACCCTGCCTGCAGTTCAAAAGATGAATTACCAAGCAAACGTTTCTTCAACATTTTCACAAAAGACCAGAGAATTAACCATCTGCAGTACCAAACAGTATTCAAAAACATTCTCAGTTTTGGTGGTGTTGTATGTTTAAAAATAAAATAACTACTCTGCTCCCTCAAACTCTCCTTCAACATTTATTTCACCTTACTTGATTCATGACCACTGCCAGCTTGACACAGCACCAGTCAAATCCCACACAATGACCTCAGTATTTCTGAACAGGCTGAACTGTTGCAGTAACAGAGTCTAAAAACTGCAGGGTAACAGTGTCAGTGTCTGCATGGGGTCAGATGGGGATCCTGAAACAAATCTGCTGCTGATAGAAAAAGTTTTCATTCTGACAGCAACTGTTCAATGTTAAAAGGGTTCTGGCTCTTCTTTGCTGGGGATTTCCATCTCTCCGGCTGTGTCAAATATTCCATACAGTTGCACTAACTGATAGGTCAGAAACATCTGTCAAGGACAGGGATCAGGAGTAAGGGCAAGTTGGATTGGGAAACATAGAATAGAATCATAGAATCATAGTGGTTGGAAAAGACCTTTAAGATCATCGAGTCCAATCATTAACCCAACACTGCCAATCCCATCTCTAAACCATGTCCCTGAGCACCTCGTCTGCCCGTCTGTTCAATCCCACCAGGGAAGGTGACTCCACCACCTCCCTGGGCAGCCTGTTCCAATGTTTGACTACCCTTTCTATGAACAAATTTTTCCTAATATCCAATCTAAACCTCCCCCTGGTGCAACTTGTAGCCATTTTCTCTCATTCTGTCACATTTTAAAAAGACAGTCAAATAAACAGACAATTAACATTTGCAATCAGAAAAGTGGTTACCATATAACAACCCTCATCCAAATTAATACTGGACTTCACTGAAAGTTGTCGAGATGTCCAAGACCACACTCTGTCAGCTACAGTTTAATTACACAGTACCATTACTTTGGCAGCAAAGTTGGACCAGAGCAGTCCTTCACCCAATTCCTTTAATCTACCCCATGCCATAAATTGTTGTCTCATAAAATGAACTGATATAATTGGCTGTGCAATTGCTCAACAAACCAGGTCAGTAGAATGGTCTCATGTAAAAAAGATCAGGAGGATAATTTTAACCCACTCAAGTTCAGCGACTGGGTTTATTTCACAGCTTCATGAGAATTTGTAGCACAGTTCAGGGAGTACAAACTGTGGCATAAGGCAATAACAAGCTTTCAAGATCTTCACTTTTGCCATAGGTTCTAATCACAGCCAGATACTCTTGTCACAGGGGATATGCACATTTTCTTGAACATGTCTAGTTTGAAAAACCCTAGATGTCAATCAAAATTATTTTCTGCATGCAATGATTACTTACTACTGGATAGCTGCCTGTCATAGGCAACAAATCGCTGTATTCAACTAAGCAGACTTTTTTTTGTCAATTCTCATCCAAAATACACCATCTTGTGCATTTCTGTGGTTTTTGTTGTTTTTTTTTCTGACCATCACAGGCTACAGAGACCATGTACTACACATCATCTATAAAACAATCATATTTCGAAGGATATGAACAGTAATTTTTAAACCTAAACAAAGATATATCTAGTTCTTAAGCACTATGACTAAGAGGCAGGGAAAATATTTTATCTCTGTATTTCACTCACCTGTGTTGTAGGGCACTGTAGGTTTATTAACACTACGGGGCTGGCACATTTCAGAATGTTAAAGTAAAACAAAATGGTCTTGTTCCTATGGAAGCGGATATAAGATAATTAAAGTTATAAATATGGGTGCTTATACATCCTACCATTCAAAAATTTATAGCATACATTGATATTTAAATTCTATTATTGTGAATGAATATATTGCAAACACAAGACAAATAAACAAATCCCAAGCAGACCCTGAATGTTCCATGCTGACATCTCTGAGTCTAGAGGTATTTGTTCCAAAGAATGTTAATTTTGAGAAGTTTTTTCCACAGCAAGGTTCTAAACTGAAACAACCCTAGGCACTGTTACACAGTCCTGCCTCCAAGATGCGAGGTCTGTAAAATAACCCAGCAAAAACACTGTGGTCTCTTTGCTTACATTGAACATAGTGTGTATGTCTTGCACGCAAAATTACTATCAGCACACGCTACACTACAAAAGCTGCCTATTTCTTGTTGATCAGAAGGTGGCACCAAAATCAATCAAAAGCTTTTTATGGCTGGAAACTGAAAGCAGCTGACTAGGAAACAGAATGATAATCTGCTAATAAGGCTGATAAACCTCCTTTGATATAAATAAGGGACAGTCTGAGGGGTTTGCACCCCAGAATCCACACACTTGACAGCTTCTGGAACTTGGGACCTTGAGGCACCTGCCACCTCAGTTCCGATTTGTTGAAAACTGATTACCCCAAGATCCCTGTATTTAAACATCTGGGTTTTGAAGACAGCAAAATATGCTGTTAATCTTTGCTATGACAGAAAATTAGCACGAAGCTCTAGTGAAGATGGTATGGCAGTAGTCCTGTTTTTTTACACAAGACTTCAAAGTTCGCTAGCCATGCCAGGACTATGCAATGTCCCTATAAGAAATAAGGGCACACATGCCCCACTATGACCTACGATGTTCAAGAGAACACAGTGAGCAGTGTTTGAGCCACCACTGACCCCCACTGTGGAAACGCAGCATGGAGGGACTCTGCCTTGGGAGCAGGATGGCAGTATGAACAGTAACGTGTGCTTGGGCTAACAAGGCTGCCTTTCTTCTATCTGTGGACCTGGCAAAAGTCCTACTCTCATGTCTCTCCGTTGTATTCCCCAGTCCAGGACGTATCCTCTGATCTTCCACCAGCACGTGGCTCCCACCAATTGCCGAATATGGCTATGCCTTCAAAGCCGTTATATAGCATCACTGGACATTCAAGTTCCCTTTAAAACTGCTATTAGCTCAACTGTCTGACATTTTACAAGGCTAAGTTGCTTTCACTGAGGTATGTTCTACTATGCCCTGTTTAACAAAAAATGCATCCTGGCAAAAACAATTCACTATAATTAGTTGTTATTTCTTCAAATCAATAGAATAAACGATAGTTTCTAGAAAGTATTTATAAGTTGTGAGCAGTTCAAAGCCATTAATAAAACCTTTATTTCTTTCTTACGTCTTAGCCCACTTGTTGATAACTGACAGCAGAAAAGAAAGTTTAAACATACACGTTAACATAAGAAAACAGCCACCAAGAACTTGGTTTGTATTCTTTATAATTAAATTGTTTTGTATTCCGTTATTATGTTGTGCTCTGTAGAAGGCAAAAAAATATTTAAGAGATTACATGGAGATTAATGGCTGGATTACAAGGAGACAGAAAGAGGTCGAGAGACTCACATGAGAACACAAGGTGGAATTAATTTGACCGCACAGAATTCATTGGAGTTCAAATGGGCAAATGGGTTTTTGCACGAGCTGAGTGTTGGCTTGGTTTTTAGTTTCTCTTTTCTACTCCACAGTGAGACTGCTGGGAATGCTTGTTCCAAGCACAAGATTCAAAACACAAAGAACATTTGGTGCATGTTGAGAAAAACTAAGAACCAGGCTACAATGCTTTAGGACTACTCTGATCCCAAGGTGTACAGACAAATTACTCAAGGAGTTATTAACTATCCAAACTCTGTCAATTAGAAGCTGTGCCAGCTAGTCACTTTCTATGCAATTAGTGATGCAATCTTTAAGTTATATTGATACTTTATCACAAATATTCTCTGAATGATGAAACAACTGCATTATAGTAATAATTTGGGTCTAGATTTGCACTGAGCAACTAATCAATTTCTGAACTTTATCTGGAATACAGTAAGAGTGTTGCTATCTCTTCAACTTTCCCCAAGACTCCCTAAGCAGACAGAGAGATTTGAAACCTCACATCTTATTCACAAGTAATAAGTAATAAGCATAAGTAATAGAGGTATGTGACTGGATTTAGTACTCACTCATTGAGGGTACCTTTCTGACCACAGAACTGCCCATAGCTGTCAGTTGGATAAATCACTTTCCTGGGGTCACCGTGCACCCAAGCTGCAAATATACATATATCTTTTAACATTTCAGTCAAGCATACACAGTTCATAGTTGAAACTGAATAGCATGAAAATGTATCACCTATAATGTACCATTCAACTTTTGTTGATCACTACTGAAGAGCACCGATTTGTAGATTTCCTAGCAAAAAACTAAAATATAAACCAAACTAAACAGAACTAAGCTATGACTGAATCAGTAAGAAAGCAAACCAGTTCACTTTTTACCTTCAGTGCATATATATCTGTGTTGTAACCAAAATATGATGTAATGGGTCTTAAAAAATAATGGTTATTAAAAGAGAAAGAAGAGGAGCTAACTATGTAGACAAATTTGAGCATTCACAGACAACCACAATGGCATTGAAATTAATGGGATTACTTGGGTATGTGACAGAAATACACCGGGTGTGGCTGAATCTAATGGACTCCACTTGCACTAAGAAGGGAAACAAACTCTCACTTTGTAAATGAAAGCATTTCCTGACCTCTCACTTGGCACTTGCCATATTTTTCAGTTATTAGGTCTGCACCTGGCAACTTATGTATTATATACTAGCATGAACCATGCTATAGCCCATACTGAATGGGAAGAGAGGTTTATATTGAACTTCTAAGCTCCTTTTCTCCACTTCAGTGCAGGATTTCTTCACCAAGCCATTTTCACCAGCACCATTATTTCCTTTTGAGTATCAAGTACACACCAGCTATCACTATTAGCAGCATTATTTCTAAGCTGTAGTGTGCAGACCTGACTAAGCTTCCTTCATAACTAGCCAATGACTAGACTTTGAACTGTTTTCACAGAATCACAGAATGGTTTGGATTGGAAGGGACCTTAAAGCTCATCCCGTTCTAACCCCCCTGCCAGCAGCAGGGACACCTTCCACTAGACCAGGTTGCTCAAAGCCTCATCCAACCTGGTCTTGAACACTTCCAGGGAGGAGCAGCCACAGCTTCTCTGGGCAACCTGGGCCAGTGTCTGACCACTCTCACAGTGAAGAACTTCTTCCTCATATCTAATCTAAACATATCCTCTTCCAGTTTGAAGCCATTTCCCCTTGTTCTGTCACTACTTGCCTTTGTAAAAACTCCCTCCCCAGCTTTCTTGTAGGCCCCCTTCAGGTACCGGGAGGCCGCTAGAAGATCTCCCTGGAGCATTCTCTTCTCCAGGCTGAACAGCCCCAACTGTCTCAGCCTGTCCTCACAGCAGAGGTGCTCCAGCCCTCGCATCATCTTCTTGCCCTCCTCTGGACTTGTTCTAACAGGTCCATGTCTTTCTTGTGTTGGGGGCTCCCAACTTAATTCTGGCATTCACAAAGTGGATTCCCCTGTGTATGAGAAGGCACTACTATACCTGTGTTTACTTACCCACAATTCCTAATGCAATGTAACCCAGAATGACGACTATGAAGATCACACAGCAAATAATGTCTGTACAGTGCCTAGGGACAGAAAGAAACACTTTTTAAAAATAAGGTGTCTAATACAACCCTTTGAAAACACCAGTGGCATAGGGAATTTTAACCTTATCCGAATAAGATGTCTGTATTATTAATTAGTAAGAGTCTTACCCATAAAATCACATTTGAGGTGTAAGGTCCTGTTTTCACAGCAAGATCAGCGAATAAATGTGTATGCCTTTTGCATTGTAGACAGCAATAAAATGGGTTTAAATATTCTTAAAACAAACAGTATCTTACATTAAATCCATGAGATCACTTACAGTACAAGCTAGTACAGGACATCTGCCTCAGCATGTCCCTAAGGCTTCTATCAAATATTGCAAAGAATGTGATGAAAGAAAGATTCAGCACAACTTACCTGTATTATAAATAGCTTATGAATGGAAAAATAAGAGTGTGAAATTAAAAAAAAGGCTATAAGCAACGACCTCTGATCTGCACAAAATTCTGACTCAGCTGCTTGACTTCATTTAATGCAACCAAAATATGCTCTACAGAGAGGACAAAAAAACCCCCAACAGATTGTGGAGAGCCATACCTTCTTTTAAAGACAAGCAATCGAAGAACAGCACTCCCTGGTCTGAAAACTGAGCCAGTGAGTAAACTCTGAGTATTCAATTAAATTACTGTTCTCTCCTTATTGGTCTGCATATTAAGTTCATGCAGGCAGACAAGTGGCAATGTGGACCACTAGCCTAATTCTCCTCCAGTGTCTGACCTTGATCAGAGTTGTTCCCGGAGTGTAATTAACATGAAGTACAACACTCCCAAGCGAGCAGGAGAAGGTCAGTATACTCTTGTGGAGACCATCAACTCCAAGGGCTCCAGCTGGGGTGAGCAGTTCTCTCCTTCACAAGCCTTTGTTTCTAAAGATGCGTGGAAACAAAATAGTTACAGTCTCACAGGCCTTTGAAGGCCTCACTGGTGAAGAAACAGTTACAGCTAATGGTCTCACCAGGATGTAATTACCAAAGGAGTGAATTACTCGTAAAAGGGTGTGCTGCCTAGAGCCTCCTTATCTGAAGGATTTCAATCACTGTTGCTATTTACCACATCCTGCTTATCTGACACAGCTTTGGTGAAGAACAGGTTGTATAACCTAAAGGTGTATGAACTGTTCACGTCCACAGCGCCTGTCGGTGCTGCTCCAGGCTGTCCCTACAGCTGTAGTAAAAAACTGTTGCTGTTCTGACCTGATCCAAATCCTGTTCTGCTTTTCCAAGACAGACGAGAGTGCAGTAATCACCCCGGGAAAACTAACGCATGCTTCAAGTTAAAGGACAACCTTCATCAAATGAGTGTTCAACTCTGCTTGCAAGTCCATGCAAGGATCCAAGCTGAATCTCACAAGTAAAAGAAATCTTAGAATCCAAACTCTAACTGACATACAGTCATTTTTAGCATCTATCATTCTTTCCGTTTTCCAATCTACATTTCCTCTCACAGAGAAACTCTATTCTTTATCATAAAGGAGACTGTATTGGGTTTGCGTGGTAAGGTTTTGGTAGCGGGGGGGAACATGGGGTGGCTTCTGTGAGAAGCTGCCAGAAGCTTCCCCCATGTCCGACCCGACACAGCCAATTCCAGCCGGCTCCCTGAACGGACCCGACGCTGCATCAGTAACGCCTCTGTGATAACAGAATTAAGAAAAAAAAGAGGAAGAGAAAAAAAAAAAAAGCTGCAGACTTTGCAGCTAGAGAGAGAAGAGTGAGAAGATGTAACAGAAAACAACTCCACAGACACCAAGGTCAGGGAAGAAGGAGAGGGAGGAGGTGCTCCAGGTGCTGGAGCAGAGATTCCCCTGCAGCTTGTGGTGAAGACCATGGTGAGGCAGCTGTCCCCCTGCAGCCCATGGAGGTCCATGGTGGAGCAGGTGACCACCTGTAGCCCGTGGAGGACCCCATGCCAGAGCAGGTGGATGCCTGAAGGAGCCTGTGGCCCCGTAGGAAGCCTGCACTGGAGCAGGCTCCTGTCAGGAGCTGTGGCCCCGTGGAGAGAGAAGCCCACGCTGGAGCAGGTTTGCTGGCAGGACTTGTGACCCCGTGGGGGACCCACGCTGGAGCAGTCCCTTCCTGAAGGACTGCACCCCATGGAATGGACCCATGCTGGAGCAGTTTGTGAAGAACTGTCAGTCATGGGAAGGACTCACGCTGGAGAAGTTGGTGGAGGACTGTCTCCCGTGAGAGGGACCCCACGCTGGGGCGGGGGAAGGAGTCCTCCCCCTGAGGAGGAAGGAGAGGCAGAAACAACAGGTGATGAACTGACCCCAACCCCATCCCCTGTTCCCCTGTGCCACTGGGGGAGGAGGAGGAAACCAGGAAAGAAGTTAAGCCCGGAAAGAAGGGAGGGGTGGGGGAGGTGTTTTAAGATTTGGTTTTATTTCTCATTATCCTCTGATCTGATTGGTAATAAATTAAAATTTGGTTTTTTCCCCCCAAGTCAAGTCTGTTTTGCCCGTGCCAGTTACTGGTGAGTGATCTCCCTGTTCTTATCTTGATACACAAGCCTTTCGTTACATTTTTCTCCCCCTGCTCAGCTGAGGAGGGGGAGTGATAGAGTGGGCTTTGGTGGGCATCTGGCACCCAGCCAAGGCCAACCCACCAGAGAGATAAAGATGGCAGATCTTTTAAAAGTTGGAAAACTTGAAAAGTGTTTCTAGGTGTGGAAAAGGAATGAAAAATCCTGCACACTCCTCTGGAGAGACACAGGTTTAACATCTCACTTAAATAATTTTTTAGTAAGGCCAAGGTGGTACAGGATTCAAGGTAAATATGACGGTAATCTAAGAAAGCATCACTGCTTAAGGGAGAAGCCATAACGCTAAAACAATGCTGCTCATTTTCCCAGCCTCTGTTGAGAAGCTGTTCTGACACTGCTCCAGCTTGGCTCTCAACCCATCAGAGCCATTTTTAAGAGGTACAATACTTAATTCAAGATGCCTCAGGAGAAATATGGCACCATAAATACTTTTATTACAACTCCTACAGTCTCAAAAACCTCTTCCAGTCCAATTCTTACAGGTCTCATTTTATGATATCTAAATGCAATTAAAGGTTACACCCATTTGTGCTAAAGCTTCCTTTTGAAGTTTTGCAGAGCCACCATGAAAATGTACCCATCAACACTTTACCAGAACACAGACTTCCATACATGGCCTAGTAAAACTCACTGATGCCAAGCAGTGCTGTTATATAAATATTTTATAAGTATATAAGAAGTACATAATTCCTCTTTTGGGTGGCTTCAGAAAATTTTGAAACATTTCATACAGACTAGATGTTCTTCATACAAAATAATTGCTTATTTTACTAGATACTATGGATTAAACCCTGGCTCCATTTAACATCATTGTTAATTCAAGTAGCTCACTTTCAGTGAGATCATAGTATTACCTCATAATACAAGGCTCTACAGAGAGGAAAATAATGTAAAACATCTTAAATGAATAAATTAAAATAACTCTGTAAAGATCCAAGGTTATACTCTGAAGATGCTGTGAGTTTCCAAAGCTTCAGGAACTGGAATTACGGGGATTGCCTCTTCCTAAACAGGAGATATTGGAATCCCATGCTTATTACTAAAACCTAATCAGAAATTACCCCGCCATGCACTGACTGAAAACAGATTTTATATGAATTTTTTCAAACTAAGTAGGCGATTTGTCTTGGCAAATTTGCTTTTTCAGTTTGTTTCAGGCTAATGAGGCAAAGCAAAATCACTCAGGAGACTGAACTGTTAAGACTGAACCCTAAGGAAGATGAATTAATTTAAATACGACTATGAGAATAGGAATTGAGAACACTGCTTATCATATGGGGTCTGCTAAGACTGGCCCTCAGGAATCCCAGACCCTGGAGGTGAGAGAGAAAGTCTGTAGAAAGGAAGAGTTTCCCCTGGCTGACAAGGTCAGAGATCATTTAGTCACACTCGACACCCACAAATCATTTTGAGCTGAGAAATTGCAGAGCTACTGCTTCAACCTGTAAGCTTACTGACTTGGTGGATACAGTATATAAAGCTTTACAAGTATTTTGTGGTAGTAATGCACATAGATGAACACTTAACATCCCTAAACTACCACTTAAATTCATACAGTGCATACGAAGTCTCACTGGTAGTATCATAAAGATACTTCTCAAATTAGGATCAACTCTCGAAACAAACATTTCCATTTATTTCTAAAATTATTAGCTTTCAGAAAGGAAAATAAGAAATACATCTTGCATAGGCAAGAACAGTGCTCAAAAATACCATTACATTGCAGTATTTTAGGATCCAACTCTGCAGTCCACAGCACCATAGGTAGTCTCGCTCACTTCAGTGACACTCTTCATGCATGCAAAACCTGTTCACTCAAGTAAGGGTTTCAAGGCTGAGTCACTCCAGCAGCCAGCCCCATCGCTGACAGGCAGTACTTCACGGCTCTCACCATTCAAGCCCTATGGATTCCCTGCGAGGGATTTACCCCACTGGCCAGCCACAGTGCAGATGCAGTGGTGCACACCCAGGCCGTGCACTGGAGAGAACTAAATCAGAACTGCGTCTCCTGATGATGTGACTATGGAAGCAGGAAAACCAGCTGCAAACTGAAGAATAGTGTGCCAGGGTTCCAGTCCTGTGCTGTACAGAAACAAGACAGACTGCATCGCATGGCCATGGCACACCAGAACATAACACCACCTCAAACAGTCCAACTCATATCAGCACAAGGTAGGACAGCAGGTTCTAGACAGCATGAGGCATATAGAACTGGCATTCAAACTGAGAGAACTTAAGAGCACACAGTTAAATATCCCCCAGTAACTGCATATCCTCAAGGGTAGTAAGTATTATCTTCTGGATTTAAAAGAATTGCAGAATGAAATTCACAAGTTTTGTTGACAAAATGTTTTATCCCTTGTTCACTGCAAAATCAAAATAATTAAATAAAATGAGTTAAGATTTTTACCTGTTATGAATGGGTCCTCTGAACTTTGGGTCAAATTTCCTTGGTTCACCTGCATTTAAAATAAAACAGTATAAAAATACTTCCTCATTTAAAATAAAATCTATAGAGAGAGGGGTGTTAACAGCAGTCTTTTAAGAACATCTTCCATATATTCCCATTTAATCAGTTCTGTTACAATAATTTAATGCAGCAAATATCAGTAATTCACCAATACAATTACCTAGTTTTTGCAGATGAGATGAAAGATTTTTCTTCTAGCTTAAAACCTTTGAGAGCCTTGCATTTACCACATGATAAATTACCTTTAATGTACATCCTACCACTACACCTATGCACAGTGTTCACAGTAGAAAGTTGCTGATATTCGAGGGACAAGGATTACAACTCACAGTCACATGCTAAGTGTGTTCGCAGCAAGTGAGTGAACCTACCCCTCTGGAGCCACAGGCTAAGCCCTTCTGATTTTTCTCTAAAAGAACAGTTTGAAGTCATGTCTGTACTGAATGTTACACTTAGTCTTGCAAAGTTATTCTTACTTCCCACTGCTCTGGGTACAGGGCTTTATAGACATAGAGTTGCAGGTTTGCCCTTTTTGCATTGGGCTTATCAGATGACAAAGATTGGCTGGAGACTGCAAAAATTCAGCGCTGACCTTGCTCTACACTACCCTGCACAGGCAGTGTAACTGCACTAGCTTCTCCAAAGCCAGAGACAAGGTACAGCACCACAAAGCAGGCAGAAGAGCACGTGTTTCAAATATCTTCCCTAATTCTCAAGTGGATGCACCCACCACATATCCCAGCGTAGGAAGCCGAACAGGCTTTTTTTCACATGGCTATCCTCATTAGCAGAGATTCACTCTACACATAAGCCAATTATATTAAGTAACCCACCAATCTGTGCTTCAAATGTGGACTTGAATAAGATGAATGACAGTATGATTTCACTT